GAATTGGAGCCCCTTCCACAGACCACTCAGCCTCGTAGTGGACAAACAGAGGCTGGGGTTGAAGGGGATCATGTCATAAATATAGTTGCAGACGATGAAGACGAGGATGACGAGAGTGCTATGAACACAGAGTCCAAGTCGTCTGGCTGTGGTTTACCAGCAAAGAACTACTGGAGCCGGCACTTCCTAGTGGATCTGCTTGCGGTGGTTGTGCCAGTGGTCCCCACAGTGGCGTGGCTCTGTCGGGGTCCACACCGTGTTGGTCAGCCAATATACCATATTGGTTCTCTACTGCGGGGTTGCTGCACCGTGGCTCTTCATTCTCTGCGTAGAGGAGGAGGCCTTCGGCACTACCCCACAGGAGGAGGTGGTCCAGGGGGAATGAGTATATGAGACCAGCTCTTCTCTCAGGGGAAGTGCTGAAGCCAGTGATATCACTGTTTTTCTGTAAGATGTGCAATTTGGGAGTGATTAACACATGAAAAAAAAAATTGAGGCAACCAGTGGAAGGATAGTGTCTGAGCACAGTACCTTAATGCTGTGGTTCTCTATGGTCTATATCCAAGACAAGATAAGAATGAGGAAGGGGGATCACTAGCATGTATTTGAACCAACAAATAAGATGCTCATGAAGTTCAGGACATCAAGCGAGCTTTCACCTTTTTCCACAACTACTACCCTGAGTAAAGAGGAGGGCTGAAGTGTTTTGAATGATGGACTGACACAATGACATTAACTCAGCTTTGTGAGTGACACTAAAAGATCCCCTTTAATATGATTGTATTACCCTTAATTAGAGTGAAGAGACACAATAAGTGATGGGAAGAAACTGTCCTTTTGTGCGTCCCTCCTACTGTCACTGCAGAGGGTGTGTTGTATGTGTGTGTATTGATTGATCAGTGCAGTACCTGGATTACTAATGGCCATCATTGTTGTAGCTGTGAGTGCAGTAGTTAGCTGTCCCATTACTTGTGCCTGTGTGGCATAAGAGCAGAAGTCATCTTTTCCCCTTAAGGAGCAAAGCAGAGCTATTTATATGCTTTGCATATACCACTAGTGTCATAAATAAATACTGTCACAAAATGATACAGTCCATCTGGAGTCTTTTAAACAATGTATTCTTTATTTTATGCTCAATTAAGTGGGGAAGTTTGATGGTTAAGAAATGTTCTGTATAGTTGAATGCTAAATTGTGTGTTTAGGAAAAGGGTAATGTATTTTAAATAATAATATTAACAGTAAGAAGGATTCAGTGCTTAGACAATGGTCTGGGTTAAATTACTTTAATAGGTCATGGGAGCTTTTTTTTGTTTCACTGTGTGACCATCAAAAAACTGTCATAGCCAAATGTTTTTGGATAAAATGCTAATATTTAACAATAGGTCTAATTTTCATGTTCACTGTTAGACTAGGTTATGTAACTTCAACCGGTTGTGCTTGACCTGCTACATGCGGGGCTCAAACTGGCAACAGCCGGCATGAGAGTTGGGACCGCTAAAAACAATGTTAAATAATGAAACATCTTAACTTAATTTAGCATTACACCCTGCTAAACAAGTTGTTGCAATGCTAATATTATTAGCACTAATACTAATACGTTATTAAAGTAGCTAATAAGTTATTTCTGAAATACTATGTAATATAATTCCACTAAAAAGATCAAAGAAAGCAAAAACGAAAAGTAAAAAAGTGGATTATACAAATTGATTAACTATCTAGGTGTAAATTTTAAAACCGTGAAAGTAAATTAAACATTTACTGCATGCAGAAACAAATTGTATTTTAAAATTCTCTGCTTTCAGCTTTTTCCAAACATTTGGCCATGACTACATGTCCCCTGATGTTCATGTTGACCATTTATTTGACTGACACGTAGGTGAAGGGTGACATTTAATGACATGTCAATTGCACTATAATTCACTTTATAAGCAACTACTTGAAGTATACTTGATTGTGAGTTTCTGTTTGTCCAAAGGCCAATGCATACATGTGGATTTGTGATTCAGGGTTAGATTTCACCGACACCACCATTTCAAAGAATCATCATGGTTTCATAAATTCACATGAATATTTATACTTTGTGTTGTGTATATGTGACAGCTGGATTGATTTGCCAGTCAACAGTGTACCAGATAATCAACCAGTTGATCACTAATTGTAGTTATTTGTGTCTCACATATTGTCTTATCTTCTGTCCCTCCAAATCATGAATAGCCGCTGCCTTTCTGTCTACCTCCTCCCTCTGATATTGTGTACAGTATATGTATGGTAATATAGGCCTTGTTTGTTGTCTATTTGCAAAGTTCTCATTTTAATTATTTACTGCTTTCTGTTGTGCATATTTGATGTGGCGTCTGTAAGGTTTTTTTTTAGCGCTTGATATTTATTATTTTTAACTGCTTGACAATCATAATTTGTGCTTTATGTGGTGGCAAGTGTGCATATATGTCATTAATTTATAGTCTAGTCCCTGCACTTTTTCACCTCATTCCAACTAAGCACTTATTGAAGAACCTTACAGCAGATTTAAATAAATGAAGGCATATATGTTCCTGAATTTTTTTTTTTTATTATTGACTCATGTTTGTTGAAACTATGAATGTGTGGCTTTCAGACAGTTTTGTCTTTATCTGAGGATGAGAGATTATAAGATTGTAATCAGTTGTTACCCCAAGAATAGGTTTCCTCCAAACCGCTACTGTCTGTCAATGAAATGTACGTAAATAACTATTGCATTAGTTATTTGGCCAGGTAAATGTTTTACGCCGATATAAAGCTTTGTATACCTGATGAAATGACACGTAAGGCCTTGATAAGATTTTCTTGCATTTTTTGAAGCCATATTACAAGCAGAGGTGTATATTGGCTCTATATGCTGGTAAATTTAAGTAATATTTCTATTTTGTCATATCACAGTTTTTTTCACTCTGTATGAGTGTGCAATTTAATGTGAGAATTCATGTGTTGCAGTATCAGTTCATTTTTCTTTCTGCATTTGAATGGTAATTAATAATCAGATTATTTGCTTTAAAGCTTCCGATCCACCATTAGGAAGTCTACAGATCTTAATACTTTACTTATTGTTAGTTTTACTAATAAAACCTTTCATTATTTTCTGAAGTTAATGAGGCTGAATTTAACAGGCTGTTGTGAAAGACTGCATTGTAGCCAAGTGACAGTTTTTCTCCATATCCCTAGTTTTTATAGCATTTTTGGGGATGATTAAGAATAAACATTTCCAAGTTTGATGTCAATGTCAACTGGCACAATATTTGTTTATAATGTACTTTTGTAACCACAAAATGTCTTGTAACAAATGCATCTCTTATTGAATCATTACTCTCCGATAATACTTTTTAGGGTAAGCTGGCAATGAATAATTTGTTTCTTTACTAATGTATATCACCTTCAACCATGGTTTGAAGACATTAGTACCTCATATATTCTTTAAATTGTTTAGTTAAATGGAAATAGCCTCCAACAAGAAAAAAGTCATAAGCCATGCTTTTTTCTTTCAGAGTGAATACTGAAATGTAAAATTGGTGGCAAACTGACACTTACATCAGTAGTTTAGTCTCTGGTAAACAGGATTATAGGACTGTGCCTAGAAGATTAGATCTCACAGAGGTACCTTTGTTATAGTTTTTTTTTAATGGTTATTCTATTGACTCATTTACACCTACAGCTTGTCTCTGTATTGTCTACCAGTATCAGCACTGTAAGTGGAACCAGACTTGTAAGTTTGGTAATGTTTCATAGTGTCTCAATATTTTTGTGTAGAACAATATTTAGAAATAGCCTCCAACAAGAAAAAAGTCATAAGCCATGCTTTTTTCTTTCAGAGTGAATACTGAAATGTAAAATTGGTGGCAAACTGACACTTACATCAGTAGTTTAGTCTCTGGTAAGCAGGATTATAGGACTGTGCCTAGAAGATTAGATCTCACAGAGGTACCTTTGTTATAGTTTTTTTTAATGGTTATTCTATTGACTCATTTACACCTACAGCTTGTCTCTGTATTGTCTACCAGTATCAGCACTGTAAGTGGAACCAGACTTGTAAGTTTGGTAATGTTTCATAGTGTCTCAATATTTTTGTGTAGAACAATATTTTAATGGCAATATTAGTGTGTACAGACATCGCTGCAACACATCGCTCTTGACCCTCATTGTTCTGTAAAATGATCTATATTAAAAAGCATGGTGAACAAAGCCTTCTCGCTACTTTTGAAGTTTTTTTAATCCTGTGTTTCAAATCTTGTTTCTAACCATCTGAAAATGGGCAGAGCATCTCAAAAACGTTTTGAAATGGAGCATTTCGATGTTTTGAGAGATCAGTATTGGCAGTGTATTCCATTGGTATCACCAGGATGATTATTTATTTTTGTAATAATTTCAGTCTTGAGGTTACATTCGTATATACATTTTTAGAGACACTAACATTTACAGGCTAAGGACAGAGAATATTATCAAAGATTAAACACCTAAAAACATGTTCAAAATCAATAAGAAATGATTTGTTGCATTACAAATTCTGGCCAAGAATTCCTTCTGGCAGAGTACAGCTGTTGGCATATAGATGTTCCAAAAATAAAAAAGTGTTTGTGCATAGTGGGAGGAACTGAAAAGATAGGAGTGTTGAAGCTAATGCTTTTCAAAATGGAAGCTCAGGTTCAGTTTTTAACCCCTTGCCCCCCAGCAAAAATAAAACAATCAGATAATAATAGTCAATAATGAAAATGGATTATTATATAACATGTAATATGACAATAATTACACAATGGCAATAATGGCATGTAGAACAGAATCAAGAACTAGATGGCAAAACAATAACAGCCCACAAGTGAAATAGAAAAAGGCAGTTTTTACATGTTATAAATGAATGTGATTGAGGGGGGTTATCCAATCAGTGATAGACGACCCATGTGGTGGATGGCTCCAATGGGAAGGCTAGAGATTGTAGGCATTGTGGAAAAGGGGGTGTGCGTGGTCTTCTGTGTTCAGACCTCAGGCACAGAGTGATCCATGGATGACTTCAGCAGGCCGCTTGACATCCTGGAACATACAGATTAGGGCTGTCATGAGCAGATGACGAAAATTCATTTTAACAGACTTGATTATTGATGTCTGTTTTGTTCATGTCACACTGTCAGCTTAATACATTTTAAGAAGTCATTTATTTACACTGATTTTGGAATATTTATGATTTTCCAAATGCTTTGGAAACTGGTTGGCTATAATATAATATATAATATAATCAATGCTAATAAAATTATTATAACCTCATAAAGCGTAGCTACTGTATCATATCTGGTATGCAAATTTCACATTTCTGTTATAAACAATCTACTTATATGCCTTCTGTCATGTGATTGATAGTTTATACTTTTTTTTTTCTTTTTTTTTTGATTCAACAAAAATATTAAGCAGCACAAGTGTTTTCAACACTGGTAACAATAAGAAAGGTTTCTGGAGCAGCAAATCAGCTTATTTGAATGATTTCTGAAGGATCATGTGACACTGAAGACTGGAGTAATGATGCTGAAAATTCAGCTTTGCATTACAGGAATAAATTCTATTTTTAAATATTTTCAAAAAGAAAATAGTTCATATAAATTGTAATTATATTTCACAATATTACTGTATTTTATCAGATTAGGCAAGCATGAGACAAAAAAAAAAATCGTACCAACCCCAAGCCTTTGAACAGTAGTGTCTATGTTTATATACTGTACAGATAGAAATGACTGACCTGTCACGGACAATAAGGTCGATGCGCTGTTCAGCTGCTGCCTTCAGAGCTTTGTGAGCCTTATCTGAGCTCCAGCCAGCAACATTCTGCCCATTGATCTGCAGAAACTGATCTCCAAAACGCAGGCCACCCAACGCTGCTGGAGAGTTCGCCTGCACCAGCTGGACAAACACTCCCTACAGAAAGAGGAAATGACATACATGAATGATAATGACACCTCAACTAAACATCACCTGCTGCTGATGATAACAATGACACATGCTGAGAATGAGGGTGTGCTGCCCTAAAACAAATTACCAATTAACCTACATACCAATTACACACTCAAAACAATGAAACACGACACCAATCCTGACTCTGAAGAAGTGTTTAATACAAAGAGCTTTACTCACATTATCGATATCTCGGAGTCGGAGTCCGACCTTTCCTTCCTGGTCTTTGCAGATGATGACCTCCCGAAGACCTGGGCGAATCTCTGCCCTCCTGATTCCCATGTCAGCACCAGTCACAGGCCGCACCATGCCACCCACACAACTTGGCACTGCCACTTGCTGCCAGGCAAGAGAAAATGTTTATTCATTCTCATAGGCGTGACTGTATTGTTCACATATTATACAACATGAAAAGTTAACTCTGGCCAATGCAAATATTCTAATGCAGTACTTTCCAACCAATGGGTACTCTGAAAGATTTAGGCCAGTTCACACAGCAGCAGAATACGGTTGTCAGTCCTGTATTTGAGTCCTTAATGCGGTTAAGTTCACACAGAGTATAGTTATTTTCAGGTGTGACAACCGCATTCTGTAACTGAACTCACACCGTAAATTTTCAGGACTCACAACCGCATTCTCAGAAAACACGTGCTGTGTGAACGGAACAGGACTGGACAACTGGTTGTCTGTCACGTCATACAGTGCGAGAGAGAGCCGCTCTGCTGCACAAATGCATATTTGCCGTGTGCTGCGTGTTTTCATGTCTGGTTACAGTAACTTATAGTGACGGAGAAATGAGCTGTGCGTCATCTGAAAGTTTTAGATCCAGTCTCCACCAGAGCCGCTCCTGTGTTCTACACGCTAACATGCAGTTACAGGTTTGTGTTCTACATGCGACTCAAATGCTCCACTCTCCACCCAAATATAAAAGCAGCTGTCAGTTAATGAAGATCTGACGGCTGAACTTGCGGCTCGATTGGACTCTTGTCGTGTCAGAAAGTGATAAGACTTTCAGTTTTATGGACGTCGCCATCTTTGATATTACTTTGGTCACTGTTGCTATGATAACTGGTAAGGAAAACGGACTTGACTCCCATTGCACATTCATACAGACAGTATTCGAGACGCTACTGTAAGCTGCTGTGTGAACTGGACATTTTGAGACTCACACCTGTTAGTAAATGCGGTTGTCAATCCCAAAATTTGCATTTATGCCTTTGTTATGATAGGACAGTACAAGCTGTGACAGGAAGTGATAAGTAATTCAAAGATAAAATTCAAATTAGTTATAATGTATTATTACCATTAACAATAGTATATTTTATTCAGCAAAAACACATTAAATTGATTAGAAGTGACAGTAAAAACATTTATAACGTTGCAAAGTATTTCTATTACAAATAAATGCAGCCCTAAAACTTTCAAATGGTAATGTATATAACTAATATATATAATGTATATAACTAATATAAATAATGTCAATTAATTAAATTAATTAATAAAAATAACTCACTAAATATCTATTACTAATTAAATCTAAAGGGGTTTTTTCAGTTTTTTTTTATGAAACAAAACAAGATATTCATAATAGAATGTGCTATAAGGTGAATCGTTTTTTCACCCACAGTATAGATTAAGCAACTTTAACAATATTAATGATAATGCCAAATGATACCCAGTATTAGTGAAAAGAAATAGATTTCTGGTTTTGTGTTGATTGAGGGGTATTTGAGCCTTATTAATGGGGCTGTGAGGATACTTGACACAAAAGGATGCAAAAAGAGAGAGGCTGGTCTAATGTTCAGTACTATGAACACTGAGTATCTTTTTAAGATGCTCTCTGAAAGCAGCCTACATTAGCATTACTCCATCACAGGCCTAATGGTGTATGAGTCATTCTGAGCTCTGCTTCCAGGAATGATGTTGAAAAGAATAAGACACTCTGTGGCCAGTTTGAACTATTCAGAGAAAAAAAAACTCCCAAAAGCACAGATACACAACCACCTCCTCTTTTTCAAAGCTTACACAATTACTCTTGGCTGCTTTAACAGAGAAAATATTGTACAAGGCAAAGGTTGCAAAGATGGAAAAACAGGCTGTAGAACAAACTAAACCAGGAAAGAGTAACAGCACTGCTAGGGAAACATTTGAGACTCTGAAATGTCATTGTTTGCATATATTAAATATTTCTTTATGAGTGGCGATACTTACAGGAACTGAACTCTAAAAACAAACAGGTGTGTTCAGTGTCAATCACTTACATTGTCAGTCACCGGGACCAGCGCAAGGTTTCTCTGGACCTCATCGCTGTTCAGACTGAGGCCCATATAGTCTCCCAGCTCCTCCAGATTTGGATACAGAGCTGGAGGGAGAGAGAGAGAAGGCGTTTCATATTGAAGTTTAGAATTCTCCATGTGACACAGACAAACCTAATAGCTAACACAGCAGCATAGTGATGTAGTCTGTTTGAGTGTGTTTTATGATCATCAAGCACGTGAAGTGAAAAAAAGAAAAGAAAAAAAAAGCAGAACAGAAAAACAGACAACTGGGGGTCAACACTCAGCCAGTCGCTGGTTTCAGATTCCAGCAATGAATGTTTCCATCCAGTAATTATTTCCTGAGTTGAGTCATGACTATAATCCTTGCCTCTTTCCCTCCTGCTTTCCCCAGTGCCCAGACATGAAAATGTCCGCCTGTGAAACATTTTCCTACACAAACAAGCTAGCACACCAGTCCATCTCTAGAAGTCTACACTGGACCTGATGATGGTGGGAAAACCCCAAATTCACAAACTTACACAGACATTCATTTATACAACACTTAAATGCAATATTTAATACATACATACCTCATTTAATTAATACTATGATGATTGTTCAAAAGTTTGGCTATTCCTATTCAGCAATAATGCATTAAATTGATCATAATTGACAGTAGTCAAGTCAAGTCAAGTCTGCTTTATTGTCAATTCTTCCACATGTACAGCACATACACACAGAGAATTGAAATTGCGTTACTCTCAGACCCTTGGTGCATACAGACAACATAAATACAGATAGGTACAGATTAAATACAAAATACAACTATACAAATAAGGTAAAATAACATTTTCCAGTAAAGACATTTATAGTGATTCATTTATAAAATGTATATTTCAAATAAATGCTGATCTTTTGAACTTTCGATTTATTAAAGAATCCTAGTTTCCTACACTAGGATGATAAACATGGTAAATGTTTAAGTAGCAAATCATAATATTAGAATGATTTCTAAAGGATCATGTGACACTGAAGATAGGAGTAATCATGCTGAAAATTCAGCTTTGCCATCACAGGAATAAAATATAAAATATATTAAAATAGAAAACTGCATTTTAAATTGTAATAACATTCCAAAATATTATTGTTTTTACTGTATCTTTGATTAAATAAACACAGCTCCGGTGAGCATAAAATACTTATTTTCTATATGTGTGTGTGTGTGTGTGTGAAACATTCTAAAAAATATATATGAGGGGGCTACACTATACACACACACATAAAAAAACTTGAGTATACATATTTAATAAATATCTAGACAACATAAAAGGAGAATGTCAAGCATACTGTTATAAAGAATATCACCGCACTGACCTATGATCAGACTGCTTTGAGGCTATAATAACGTGAGCTTCAGGAGCTATCACTACAGCACAAGTTACAGTACTCTGTGAACCCCCACCTAAAAAAAACAAATTTTTTAACCTTCTTGTTATGTAATATCCTGGCAGTGTCTTGAGAGGCCTCACCCAGGTACACAATGAGAGCACATAGGTGGAAAGCAGTGCTGCCTGGATAAGAGGGGCTCAACTTGAGCACTTGTTTTACACTGAGATTAAAAAAGGAAGTAGGGAAGGTTGTTAAATTGCTCTCAGATTCCCTAAGGCATGTCTTCATTTCCTGTTTGACAATTGCACAAAACATTGGCAAGCTTATCATCTCTATAAAAACAGCTCTCACTCGGTACTTTAGTAATGAAAGAGAGAATGGTATGATAAGGGAGATGGAAGCTAGACAGACGGCGTAAGAAGCTTTAAAGGAAGACAGACTGGCAGAGGCCAGGACTCACTTGAGCTTGGCATCCCCTGTGTGGCAGGCTGTGGCTGGTAAACCCCCTGAGTGATGGTGTTCTCATGTCTGGTTTCAGTAACTTACAGTGACGAAAAAATTAGCTGTGTCATGTGAAAGTTTTAGATCCAGTCTCCACCAGAGCCGCTCCCGTGTTCTACACGCTAACATGCAGTTACAGGTTTGTGTTCTACATGCGACTCAAATGCTCCACTCTCCACCCAAATATAAAAGCTGCTGTCAGTTAATGAAGATCTGACGAATTGACTTGCGGCTCAACTGGACCCTTGTCGTGTCAGAAAGTGATAAGACTTTCAGTTTTCTGGACGTTGCCATCTTTGATATTACTTTGGTCACTGTTGCTATGATAACTGGTAAGGAATACAGGCTTGACTCCCATTGCACATTCATACAGACAGTATTCGAGACGCTACTGTAAGCTGCTGTGTGAACGGGACATTTCGAGACACCTGTTAGTAAATGCGGTTGTGAACATAGCAATAATAAGAGAAATGTCATGTGTAATCTTATTGCTATCACACATTTAAAGAGCTTCAGATTGTAACCTATTTTGTGACTTTGTCTGTGGACTATTAATACTATTTAAATAATTTTAAATAATAATAATATTTGTTATATATTTACTTTTTGCATAATTTGATATATTTGATAAATTATATCAAATATAATACAAATATAAATGTTTCAGTCAGCTATACAGTTGCATACATATTCATCCATTCTAGCATTGCTTAAGTTAAGCATTATTACTATTATTATTATTATTAGCATTATTATTATATTTGTATTACATTTTATATTTAATAATAACAACAACTTCATATTAACAGCTTTCAGTCAATAATAAAGTTGAACAGATAGGCTAGTTATTCATCCATTCTAGCATTGCTAAAGTACAGCAATTAACTATTATTTATTCTAAATTTAGAAATTGCATTTGTATTATATTTAAATTATATAATATCAATATTTTCTATCAAAATTAACGTTGGATATAAAGTTATTCACCCATTTTAGCATACAGTGGGGAAAATATTTATTTGATCCCCAACAGATTTTGTAAGTTTGCCCACTTACAAAGAAATGAAGCGTCTGTATGTTTTTATGGTAGGTTTATTTTAACGTATAGAGACAGAATATCAACCAAAAAATCTAGAAAAAACACATTATATAAAGGTTAGAAATTGATTTGCATTTCAGTGAGTGAAATAGGTCTTTGATTCCCAAGCAAAACATGACTAAGGCCCAATCCCCTTCCCCTTCCCCTTGTCCCTTGAAACAGAGTGTCAAGGGGTAGGGGTGAAAATATTCCCCTAAGAATTGGGACACCACTACTATGCCGTCACATGTCATCATACGTCGTCTAGCTCCTACAATACACACACCTATATTGGTGTGCTGGTGTGCATTAAAGCCTTTAATTACCGTTCTATATTAATGCGCTACTTACTGACACACACACACACACACACACACATATATCATAGATCGCGCAGCTCACACATCCAGGACAAACATTTCTTTGAGTAACATGACCGTAAATATGAACTCACGATTGAACGTAACGTAAAACAAATGATTACTTTTCGTTAAAATCTTTATAAATGCCAAAAATGCTTATATTTCTGTGTCTTTTTGTTCGCTCGGGCAGCCATGTTGCCGCTGAAGCCGGTTTACGCTGAGATAATTCATACCCCTTCGTTTGAAGTGTGGTCCCGAAAAATCTTCGTTTGAAGGGCTGTCTGGCCCTTCCCCTCCAACCAAAAGAGAATTGAGACACTCCTACCCCTTCACGTGAACGCGCGAAACGGGAAAGGGGAAGGGCTAAGGGGTAGAATTGGGATTGGGCCT